ACTTTTCGTACACGGCGAATTTGAACGAACTCGTCTATATATATATATATATATATGAATGTATTCGTCAATCTATTTTTAACTCTTAATTTATTTTAACCTCATTGCAGAATAAGATACTGTATGTGATAATATTTTTTCATTCTCGCTTGTGTTTTTAACACTGGTATACAATGCATCTGGACGAAGCTACATTAAATACAGGTGTGAATGCTCTCAGTATGCAATGACGACTTCTTCTAGATCACTTCAGAGACGATCTGCAACATTTTAATCTGCATTAGTTTGGTAGTCTGAACACAAGCCATCCAGAACCCTGATGTAGGACTTCCAGCTGAACTGAACTCTAGTTACTTAAATGAATCTGTAAGATCATAACAAGAAGCCATTTCACAGTGAACAATAAAACATTTAACCCTGAACATTTTTTTCTTACCGACTGCAGGAATGGGAGGCAGCTTCATGGTTTTGCGTTGACCCTGCGGTGGTCCAGCGTTCACCCAGGGGCAGGAGTCCCTCATAGTCTTCAACCTCTCCTTCTTGATGTTCTCCAACTTGATGGTGACCGCTCCACCGTAACTTGTGGATTTCCTCAGCTGAAGTCCCACCCCCGCCTGTTGACCCCCGGTGGGGACGGTGGAGTCGACCACGGGGCACTCTTCTGGTGCGCTGAGGTCCCCAAAGCTGCCCCCGCTGTGCATGGCCATCTCTACCCCACTGTCGATGTTGTTGGCATTGCTGAGAGGCGACGGCTCGCTGCTACAAGACGACTGGCCACCAGGACTGGACTGATACGTCTGGGGGGAGGACAAGGGGGGCGGTTAAGGTTCATGCAAGGGTCATAAATGAACCGTTTGAAGGTCGATTTGGAATAAAAATGACAGACGTCAGTTTCTATGTAGAAAAACAACAGAAAAGAATATAAATAAAAGAAAAACAACAACACCAAACTCATGCCACGTTCACTGAACTGCATAAATATTAAATAAGTGAAAAATATTCTGATTGTAATAACCGATTGAGGCCTGCAGCTTCTATCGCATTAATTAAAAATGAGTGCGATTTATTTAACACGGAAATGAGAACATAAGAGATGATTTCTGTGAGCAACAGTCCTTCCAGCTCACCAGAACCAACCGCTTGATCCCAGCTTGATGCGTTTCTGAAAACCGTCCGACCGTTTTATTATTAATGCGACGACTTTTATCAGCCCCTCAGTTGATTTTCTGAACAGAAAATTAAATTTGAGGCTTTATGCGGGCAGCTCATATAAAAGTAAAACATTCCTTGAAACATCGCCCACCTCCTTGCACACACAAGTCAAAAATAAAGGTCTTGTTTTGCACGAACTGTTAGTGTTTAGGATCTATACTGGGCGGCCATCTTGAATCAGTTTGACTCCAAAAGCCCAACAGCTGTAAAGGTACGCCCAGTGATGAATTCCTACTAGTTTCATCAAAATCTGTCAAGTTGTTTAGATCATTATTTAGTCTAAATCCATCTTCATGCACAGATAGACAGATCGGAGTTCAATCCTTCTGTAAACGGGCGGCTCGTGTTCTCACCTCAGAGACGTCTGTCCGATAGAAGGTGGTTAAAGAAGAAACAGAAGTCAGCAACAATCAAGAAGGTTAATTCCAACGGATGCAGTAAACATTGGAGACAACTATCTGACCCTGTGGCATTTTTCTGACTTTGTTGCATTACAACATTTGAATTAAAAGTGTTTTATTTTATTTTTTAAATAAACTAAATTAAAACTGAGAAGCATGCATATTTACCCCAAAATGTTTCGAGGATCTAAATTAGGCTGTTGTTCTGCTGGTTAGACTCACAAAGTACTAAATAGGTTTTACCACGAGCACCTGTGCAGCTTAAGTGTCCCATGATGTCAGTATTTAAACACTTGTTAAAAAACCAACAGAGTGAGGAAGACGTCTGAGCAAGCAGCACGATGAAGACCAAGGAGCTCTCACACAGATCAGGGACCAATTTCTGAAGGTGCAGTGGTTATTAGTCCAATATTAGAAAGATCAAATTAATGCAGCAAATCAGCAAAGAAAAAGCAGAAACAAATGGTTAATCATCATCATGATGTGACTAAATGATTTTCAGTTTTAAGGTTTCTATGAAACAGTGTGACCCGTTGAGCTGAAAGAAGCAGGGATTCATTTTGGGTGGAAATCACAGGAACTACGACTCAAAGAAACATTAAGTGTATTCATACAGACTTTTGAGTTTATTAAATGATAAAAACACATTTTCTTTCTACAATGTAGGTCAGGGGTATCCAGACTTTTTCATCATGCAAGCTACTTTTAAAACGACCAAGTCAAAGTGATCTACCTGCTTTAAGGCCCCGTTTACACGAGAACAACCTCTGGAAACGTTAAGTGTTTTTCCATGTTTATTGGGAATTATAAACAAAAAAAGAGCGGGTGCACACAAAAAATGCTGTAGTTTCCATGTCTGTCGGGTTGCCAGATAAGAAATATAAACTATAGTACTGTCGCTGTAAAATGATAGTATTTTGAACTAAACTGACATATGTGCTGAGTAAAGATATTCAAAGATGAGGTGTGTGTTGTGTTTGTTGAACAGGTGCACAGAAAAGGAGGGGGTAAAATGAGACATTTAAAATGTATCTGGCAACCCTGATGCTGGGCTCATTGCACATGCAGCATCTGCATGATACAGTTATGTCCAAACTGGTGAAAACACTAACGTCTCTTTGGTAGACAGCGATCGACTTATTGGGCACCCCTGCTGTCGGCCAACAAAATCAGAAAAATGCCAAAAGGAGTGATTGTTTTCACGAGGCAGAGTTAGAAACGGTTAGTTATAAAATAGGTGTTTGTTTGTTAAATGTGCTTTACAGAAACAAACTCACCACAGAGTTTTCAGTCTTGATGGATTTGACCTGCAGACAGTCCTGCCCCCCTCTGGAGGTGCTGTTGGCCTCCATCCTGCCGTCTGCGCCTCTCGCGCCGTGCTTGAAGTTTGTCTCGTTCTCCCCGTTTCCTTTGGGCGGCTGCAGCCTCGGCGGGGCGTCGCCTCGTTGTTTTTTGGTGACGTGGGCTTCGGGTCCGTGGACGGTCTTCACGTGCTTCCTGAGAGAGCTCGGGTCCGTGTAGCGCTTCGTGCAGCCGGGGATTTTACACACGTATGGTTTCTGCCAACAGGGAGGGCAAACGATACGGGTTTTAAAGATTTGTCAAATTGAATGGGCATGTGTTAGCTAATGGTGACTAGCTGTGGCGGCCATCTTAAACTGGGCTAACTCCAGCAGTAACTGTAGATGTCGAGCTAATGATTAATTTCTGAGAGTTTCATTAAAATCTGTCCTCTGGTTCATGAGATGTTTAATAACAGACACACCCAAATACATGATCACCCAAATTTATGCTGGCAGGCCATAAAGAGATGGATAAACATGTTTTAAATAAACCTGCATTCATGTAAATAAAAAATAGAGAAATTGCAATTCCTGTGAAAATGCAGTATGAATGATTATTGCAGAAGTACTTGCTGAAAAACAGCTGAAATTAGCTAAAACAGCTGAAATGTAGCTGAAATGTAAGAAGAAGCCTAAATTAGCAAAATAAAGCAGAAAAAAAAACACATATTTGCTGAATTAGGTTTAAATAAGCAGAAATAGGCACAAAAAGTTAGTAATTAACAAAAAAAATATTGCTGAAAAAAAATATTTTGCTGAAAAGGCAGAAAGAAGTTAAACTACCGGAAGGAAGCGGAAAGAAGTGAAATGAGAAAAAAAAAAAGTAGAATTGGCAGAATAGCTAACAGCTAAACAGCTAAATAGAAGCTGAGAGAGCAGAAAAAGCTTAAACTAGCTGAAAAAAGATGAAATTAGCATAAAGAAGTTAATTAGTCTGAAAGTAGTAGAAATTAACATGAAAAACTTGAATTTACCCAAAATTAGCTAAAAATGCTAAAAATCTAGCTGAAAAGTTAGAACAAGCTTTAATAAGCAGAAGAAAGCAGAAAGAACACATTTGCTGAAAGAAGTAGGAATTAGCACAAAAAAGTAGAAATTATCTGAAAAAAGCTGAAATTAGCAACAACAAAAAAAAGCTGAAAAGCAGCTAAAAAGCAGAAAAAAGCTTAGATTACCAAAAGGAAGTGGAAGGAGTACATTTTTGCTGAATTAGGCTGAAAAAAGTTGAAATGAGTGGAAAAAATATGGAATTAGCTGAAAACAATCAGAATAAAAAGCTAAATAGGAGCTGAAATAGCTGAAAAAGCTGAAACTTGCATAAACAGAAAGGAGCATAACAAGCTGAAATTAGGAGAAAGAAGTTAGAAGAAGCACAAAAATGTTCTAGTTAGCAGAAATAATTTAAAAGGAGCACAAAACAGCTGAAAGAACAGCTGAAAGTAGCTGAAAAAAGTTTAAATTTGCAGCAGGAAGCTGAAAGTAGCTGAAGCAGAACAAATCGTGAAAGGACCAGTAAAATGTTGTAAACTGGTCTAAAGCTATGAAGGGTGTAAAATGAGCTCAATTCATTTTCTATGAGTTTTGATTCATGATTTGTTGAAATAGCTAAAAACTGTGGAGTGAGAAAGATGTTTTTTATCTATAAGTATTTTGAACAATTTCACTTTATTTCTAAAAATAGGAATACCTTTAAATCCTTCAGAAACTTTGTTCTTTTTTAGATTCTGCTTCACCAAACTGGTTCTGGTTCTGTGTTCTTGTTGGAGGCGCACAGAAAGTCTGATTAAAGCCCAACAGCTGAGATACTTAGCAGAACATAGAACCACCGAGCTGCGAACAGAACCAGGTAAAACCCAGTGCAGGGGCGTACCTCGTTGGAGTGCGTGCGGTTCTGGTGCTTGGCCCGGTCCGAGGCGTTGGAGAAGGCCTTGTTGCAGCCTTCGTGCTCGCACACGTAGGGTTTCTCTCCGGTGTGGGACCTGAGGTGGGTCTTGAGATTCTCCAGACGAGAGTAAGCTTTGGAGCAGCCCTCGAACTGGACAGACAGACGGATAAACAGAAGGTTTGCGTGAAGCCGTGGTACAAACATCACTTTAAAAGCTTTGTGAAAGGTGCTGGTTCTGTTTCTGAGACAAAGAACTCTGTGTTCCGGCTCGTACGGTACAAGCTGTGATCTGGTATTCCCTCTAAGCCGTCATCGTGAGTGAAGTCAGCTTCCAAACGAACAGAGGATCAAATCAGAGCCGCTCAGAAAGAGGATCAGAAACATCTTTCCTTAAAAGACACAACTGAAAAGGAGGCAGAGTTCGGATCACATGCATGTGGGATTTGTGCGCAGAACGTGTAGAGCTTGAACCTAATAAGGACCCCCGGCCCCCTGCGTCTCTGCACATTTTAATTACACGCCCAGGCTGCCAATCAGACCATTTTAAAGTGTCTTCTTCACAAGTCGTCTGTTTTTAATGCGATCAGGGAGCTTTGAAGCCGAGCGAACGGGCGCTCGATTTGATCTTCACACAGCAACTAAGGCTCCGATAACGCTCGTTTACCAACAAGGATCAAATCAGAGCTGACGGACACAAAGAGCGCCGGAAACATGAAGGACATGAAACCAGCACACTGTCCCACTCTGGGATCTTCCTGCTCTGAACTATAGAGCGGCTTGAATCTGATTAAAACACGTATTTATAGGTGAAATGCTTCGCTCAACAAACAAACAATAAAATTCCTCAGAAAAAAAAAGCAGCTGAAGTCCAAAAACTGGAAGACTGCTGAAAACACCTAAAAGTTTTCAAACAAGTTTGGCTTCTTGAAAGGAAAAAAAAGAAGAAACAACTGGAGTAAAAGTTGACAAAGGTTTTATTAATAATCTGGTCTGTGGCTGATCCTAAACATATTTTGATAAACTGCTTAAATACTTTAAAGACTCACGAGCAGCAAAACTGACACCGTTCGACCTTTACTCACAGCACGATGGGATTAAATACGTTTTGATTCAATAGATTAGGATTAAAACAATAAAACAAATACCCGATCCTTTAATAACCAGAAAAATTGCAGTTCCTGTGAAAATGCAGTGTGAATGCTTGTTGCAAAAGAACTTGCAGAAAAACAGCTGAAATTAGCTAAATTAGCTAAAAACACACATTTCAGTGTAGCTGAAATGGAAGAACAAGCCAATATTAGCAGAAAAAAGCAGAAAATACATATATTTGCTGAATTAGGTTTAAATAATCATAAATTAGCACAAAAAAGGCAGAAATTAGCTAAAAAAAAAAACCCTGAAATTAGCAACAAAAAAAAAAAAAATAGCTGAAAAGTAACTGAAAAGGAAAAATTAAGCTTAACCTACCAGAAGAAAGTGGAAAGAGCTGAAATGAGCTTAAAAACATGGAATTAGTTGAAAAACTAAAAATAGCATAAAAAGAGCTAAATGGTAGCTGAAAGATAAGAAAAAGTTGAAACTAGTTGAAAAAAGCTGAAAGGAGCATAATGAACTGAAATTAGCATAAAGAAGTTAATTAGGCTGAAAGTAGCAGAAATTAACATGAAAAGCTTGAATTTATCTGAAAACAGCTAAAATTAGTTAAGAAATACTAAAAATGTAGCTGAAAAGTTAGAAAAGGCTTAAATTCGCAGAAGAAACCAGAAAGAACATGTTTGCCCAATTTGGCTGAAAAAAGCAGAAAAGTGGAAATTATCTGAAAAATAAAAGGCTGAAATTTGCACACACACACACACACGCGCACGCACGCACACACACGCATACAAAAAAAACAGCTGAAAAGTAGCTAAAAAAGCAGAAAGAAGCTTAAATGACCAGAAGGAAGTGGAGAGAGCACACTTTTTCTGAAGCAAGCTAAAAAAGTAGAAATCAGTGCAAAAAATGTGGAATTAGCTGAAAAGGCTAGTAGCTAAAATAGCAGAAAAAACTGAAGCTAGCAGAAATCAGATGAAAGGAGCATAAACTGAAATTAGCAGAAAGAAGTTCAAAAATGTAGTTAGCAGAAATAATCTGAAAGAAGCACAAAAAAGCTGAAAAATCAGCTGAAATTAGTTGAAAGAACCTGAAAAAAATATATTTGCACAAGGAAGCTGAAAAAAGCTGAAGCAGAACAAAATGTGAAAGGAGCAGTAAAAAGTTGTGAACAGATCTAAAGATTTGAAGGATGGAAAATGAGCTCGTTTTCTATGAGGACAAAAAAAATGGCAGAAAAGGCTAAATATTTCAAAAAGCTAAAGTTGCACCAATACCAAAAGTCATAGCAGGATTGTCCTGAACACGCTGACCGTTTTGATTTATGAGTTGTTGAAAAAGCACAAAAACTGCAGAATGAGAAAGAAGCTGAAAAATGCACAGAAGAAAAATGGACCCCAATAGTGTGAATGCTTCAGAAACATTCACACGATTACAAGACTAATGTCGTAAATAAAAATGACGGTTCTTAAACAGCAGGTGTCACCAATGAGAAAACAACACAGCTAAACTGCACCAGAAGAAGAGCCGTCCCTTCCACACATAATAACTACAAGTTCCCAGCTGCCTTTAAAAGTGTAAAACAGCAGAAGTGAACCTGCTTACAGACGTCTCGTGTTGTAATAAATATGAGGATGTTTTATTGGAGCAAGGATGAGACAAACATCTAGGTTCAACATTAAACCTGCAGGGGTTCACAGCTGCTCTGCACATCCAGCTGCATCAGTAAAAAGACACCTAAAATGAGATGTTAGCAGATAATTCCACGAGTGTCGTTCAGTTCTTACTGTGCATTTGTGCGGTTTCTCCCCCGTGTGGCGCCTCATGTGGACCACCAGCATGTACTGGGCCTTGAAGGGCTTCTGCTCCCGCGAACACTCGTCCCAGCGGCACACGAACTCCTTCTTCTCTCCGTGGATGTGGTCGTTGTTGATGTGCTGAGCAGACAAATCGATTGTCGTCAGTCATCACAGTCTGAACATCTGTCTGTGATTCAAACGGTCCACGCGTGTCTACACGTGTGCGCTGCAAAGAACGAGTCATCAAATTCCTCTGATTTTCCCACCAGACGATTCTCCTTCTATGTTTAGGAGCGTGTGGCGTCAGCGCGAGCCGTGACACTATCAATTATTGGTGACAGCTTTAATGCATGTGTCAATAAAAAACCAAACCTACAAAACATCTGTTTTCTCAGGCTGCTCGTGTTTGTTTTAAATTTTCTTTTAGGAAGAGGAACTTGCTTATGAGGCAACTGAAAATAAACCAGGAAGAGGATTTTCTGACGCTCATTATCTTCCACTCTGCTCCGTTTTTAACGGACAAGAAGTCAATCACGATCCATGTTTCCCGAGCCACGCTTTTACTGCAATTTTTATCAGCTGGACAACAACTTTGAGGAAAATATTGATTGAATTATGCAATAAAATGTACCTATGAATGTGAATTATCTGTTTTATTTTGCAAAGTTATTGATATATCACCAGCATGCTGGAATTGACTATTTTAAAACATCATGCTAATAAATTTTTGCATTATTGTGTTGGCCTTTATTTTATAAACAAGAGAAAACTTTATGTTATCTTGTTAATATTTCAGACCATAAAGTAAAAGTTTAAAAAGTGGCCACCAGATCTGAAAAGTAAAGCCAATACAGTAGTCCCTCGTTTATCGCAGGGGATCCGTAACCCTGAAGACCCACGATAAGTGAAAAACCGCGAAGTAGGAATAGTAGTACAAGAAGTAAGTAGTTTATTTAAGTATTTATATATATATATATATATATGAAGACATTTTACACCCTTCCCACATTCTTGCAATATTCTAAACGATGTTTCTAAACTCTAAACGCTCTAAAAGAGCACAGAATGTCATGGTTTCAGCGCCCTGCCTCCTCTGCTTTTTGCCACCTGCGAGCGCTCTTGGCCACGCCCACTTCTCCGCTCTGAATGCTGAAAAGCTGATCAGCTGCAGTAGGAAGTTTATCCTGCAGTAAGAGCTGCACAAAGGTGAAGCAGGTTCTAAATAACTTAAAATAATTAATAAAAAAAAAAAAAAAAAAGTCCATGTAGATCGTTTGTCACGTCCAATCTTATTTTGAAAAACCTGGATACAGCGAGTCCGCGATAAACGAACTGCAAGTAGCGAAGGACGACTGTATCGATAATTTTAACACAACTGAGGGTTTCTATGTGCTAGCTCTAAACAACTTCTATTTCAAGAAACAAAGGCTCCCAAGTTTCTGTAATGTTATTAATTAGATAAAAATAACAAATTTATCATTTGATTTGCAGTCTATGGTAGGGACAAGGCAATTATTCTACTCAACAAGCATGCACACAGCTTTTTAAAGAAATCCAAGTAGGAAGAACTGAAATATCCTGTGAAGTTGGAATTCCAACTTAAAAACTCGGACAATCCTTGCAGCTGCAAGCTCAAATCCAATATGGCTGCCTTGTGCATCAAAAATGGTACCAGCAGCAGCAATAAACTTTACTTTTTACTTCTGTTAGTTTGTTTCTTGTTAAATCAGATGCACACAAACAGGAGTACTTTGTTGCCTCGTGTTGCTCGGGTGTTTGAAAATGAATAAAGTAGAAAAATGCACTTTATCAGCTTGTATTGATATAGTTCTAGTTATAGAAGTTAGTGAGTTTGCTGACTTGCAACTGGAACACAGTTGAGTTGGGAGTGACCAGTCCCAGATTTGAGCTCCAGACTCCATTAGATTTAGCCGAAGCTAACAAATAGCTTAACTTGGGCTAGCACAACTAACAAATCTAGCTTAAACCTAGAAGTCATCAACTTTTGCATTTGTTCAAATCTGCTAATTATTTTGTATAAAACAACCTGACGTTAAAGTCCAAGTGTAAGATGACTCATCTTTCATATATTTCATGCCTCACACAAAGATTCATAAATCTAATTAGGCATCGAAAAGACACATGCACGATGATGTGAGCGTGCAGTTTCTAAAACAAACATCTAAAAGCCTCTCTCTGTGCACCACATGCAAACATCCACACTTCCAGAGGAACCAGTTCATTTCCTGAGGACATCCAAGCCCACAATGCTCCACTCATGTGGTCGTCTTCCTCACCAGAGAAAAAGCTCCGTGGTCGGGGATCCTGCTGACATCTATTTTAGGTGGAGGAGGAGGAGTGGAAACAAGTGTGTGGCCCAAGGAGACGTCTTTACTTTCAGGTTACACTAATGAAAATCTATAATTTGGGGGAGGATCTTAAACCAGAACTATTTGGGGTTGAGCAGAAACCAGAAAAAAAACACAGGTTCATGCATGTTTTTGTCTTTCTGCTTGTTTTCTTAAGCTTTAATTGTCCATCCTTACCAAAGTCCAACCTCTGAATCATCTAGTTCACCCACTACTGCTCACTCAGTGAGGTCATAAATCTGCAGCCAGGAGCAAAAGTTAAAAGTAACTATTGTCCTGACTTATAGCGTCCCCTCGCCCTCCTCCCATTGGTCTCTAGATACTTGAACGTGACACGTTTCCTTCCTTAGGCTGCTGTGGACATCCAGCCTGAAAGTGGGAAGCAAGAACAGAAGTTGGTTAAAAAAGGGGGAAGCTTGAGGGTCTGCAGCTTCAGAGCTGCTGGCCTGACGATGGATTTATGGCCGGTCCTCTGAGCTTCAGGGGTTGTGGGGTTACTGGGAGTAAGAGGTTATGGGTTAGGGGTCACGGAGCTGAGAGGTTCATGGGGTGGCACAGCTGCGAGGGGTGAGACTGAATTTGGCAAAAGCCGGAAGGCTCATTAAGATTTTGCACGTGTCAACCAAACAGGAAAGAATCCATGAGTGGACGGGTTTCTGACCGGACTCGGACAGCGCGGATTCAGTGACATCAGCCTTTCCTCGTCTTACACATCAAATTAACTTCTGCAGGCATCGCTAGAAGTTAATGAGATGAACAACATCAACCAGTTTACTTAAAAGCTTGTAACTCGTCTGAAGACGTCTTGAAGGAGTCGAGAGTACCACCTGAAAAACAACATCTGGATTTCTAAAGGTCCAACAAGTCACAATCACTTCCAGTTCTGATGAGAACAGTCGGTTCCGCGGGGAAACCTTGGATGTTCTGTGTCTGCCGGAGGGCAGTCATCGTCCGTTTCCACGGTCGTTATTATCATCATGCTGCTAACAAGACCACGCCACTAACAGAACCTCACTGCTAACAGAACCACTCTGCTAACAGAACCAT